GGGGAAGAGGCGGAGCTGAGCCACCTTGCTGGCGGCCTTCCCCCTTCATTTTGACAGCTCGGGGGAGGCTTGGGAGTTGCAGGTGGGCAGCACGCCATTGCCCCCTGCTTCCGGGCTGCTTCCTGTGGGGGGGGAAGCCTCCCCAGAGCTGTCAAAAAGAAGAGGGAAGGGAGGAAGGCTGCTGGCAAAGTGGCGTGGCTCACCCCACCCCACCTCACCCAGGAAGCAGCCTGCCATGGCCTGCTTGCTCCACCCTGCATGGGTGTCTCATCCCCTAGGATGCTCACCGCGGGTGGCGCCCCTGGGATGCTTGCCCCGCCCCCTGGGATGCTCGTCCCGCCCCTGGGTGCACAGAGCAGCTAGCTCCGCCTCTACCCTAGTGTATTCATTACTTGACTGGAGAATTGCATTGCAAAATTTGGAGAAGTGTGAATTTCAAAGGATGGCTGTGGTTTGGTTCCGGTATTGTTTCAGAAAGTGTGAATTAGGTAAGTTTGGCTTTAAGTGCAAGCTGAACCAAATCTCCCACCCATCACTACTTGGAATGGAGGCCAGATTACTTCACATTCTGTTACTCCCAAGGTGTGTCAGGAAGCAGGCATGCCAGCTAGGGGGGCTGAGACAATTTGCCCCACGCCCCATCATAAGAAGAGCGCTGGGCCCCCTCAATATTGAGTGTCAATGTCATGTGCGCCACGTCAGCAAGTCACACGACTTGGGCCCCCTCAATAGAGGGGGCAGGCCAGCTCCTCTGCTGGGAATGCACCCAATAGAAGCTCTTTCCCTAGCTTCCCGTCAATGGCAGGGGCAATGGGCCTCCGGAGGCAATGTGCCAATTTGATTATTTCTGCAGATAGGAAGAGCGAAGCTGAAACCCCAATAAACTCCAGCAGCATCTGTCAGCAAAGCAGGCGGCTAAGCTGAGGCAGCATCTGCCTTATGTTCCTCTGATCCCTCTGGTTGTCCTTGGAATCCGGCAAGAGCATGAGGTCTGACACCACTCCTGCTACCATAGGATGCTCTGCGCAACCAGGAAAGGCGATCAGTGGCAGAGGAGATGCTCTATAGGCAGAAGATCCCTCATTCAATCCTTGGTTTTGCTAGCTAATATTACCAGCTAATATTACTCCAACATTTCTCTGATGAAAATAGGGATGGATGGCAGGGGGACACGGGTGGCACTGTGGGTTAAACCACAGAGCCTAGGACTTGCCGATCAGAAGTTTGGCGGTTCTAATCCCCGCAACGGGGTGAGCTCCCATTGCTCAGTCCCTGCTCCTGCCAACCTAGCAGTTCGAAAGCACGTCAAAGTGCAAGTAGATAAATAGGTACTGCTTCAGCAGGAAGGTAAACAGTGTTTCCGTGTACTGCTGGTACACCAGAAGCAGCTTACTCATGCTGGCCACATGACCTGGAAGCTGTATGCCGGCTCCCTCAGCCAATAAAGCGAGATGAGTGCCGCAACCCCAGAGTTGGCCACGACTGGACCTAATGGTCAGGGGTCCCTTTACCTTTACCTTTCTTCTTTAACAACAACAACAACAACAATTTTATTATTTATACCCTGCCCATCTGACTAGGATGCCCTAGCCACTCTGGGCAGCTTCCAACATATATAAAAACATTAAATATTTCAAACTTTGCTATACAAGGCTGCCTTCAGATGGCTTTGTTGTTGTTTAGTCATGTCCGACTCTTTGTGACCCCATGGACCAGAGCACGCCAGGCACTCCTGTCTTCCACTGCATCCTGTAGTTTGGTCAAACTCATGCTGGTAGCTTCGAGAACACTGTCCAACCATCTCGTCCTCTGTCGTCCACTTCTCCTTGTGCCATCAATCTTTCCCAACATCAGGGTCTTTTCCAGGGAGTCTTCTCTTCTCATGAGGTGGCCAAAGTACTGAAGCCTCAGCTTCAGGATCTGTCCTTCCAGTGAGCACTCAGGGCTGATTTCCTTCAGAATGGATAGGTTTGATCTTGCAGTCCATGGGACTCTCAAGAGTCTCCTCCAGCACCATAATTCAAAAGCATCAGTTCTTCGGCAATCAGCCTTCTTTATGGTCCAGCTCTCACTTCCATACATCACTACTGGGAAAACCATAGCTTTAACTATACGGACCTTTGTTGGCAAGGTGATGTCCTTGATGGCTTAGGGGGCTGGATAACTTCATAGCCTCCAGCATTTCTCCGATGAAAATAGGGACATCCTAAGGAAAAGAGGGACATTCTGGGATCAAATCAGAAACTGGGATGGCTTCTGCAAATCTGGCATTGTCCCTTGGAGGGTCTGTACCAGTCACATATCACAGCAATGTTGAGAGACTTGCAATGGTTGACTGATAAGACACTGAGCCTGTATCAAGGTCTTTTTACTTACATACGAAGCCTTAAACAAAGGCAGACCTCCCCTCTGTTGCTTGGTAAGGACTCTGGGATCGACAAAGGGAACCTGGTTGGTCTTGTTTTGAAATGATGATCATCAGCTTGTGGTTACACAGAGGCAGGCTTTTCTCCTGGTAGCACCAATGCAATGGAGTGCACTCCCTTCTCAGATACAAGAGGCCCCATTGGTATTGGAATACTACCAGCTTCTGAAGACACACCTGCTTACAGAGGCATCCCCCCGATCACACGCAAGAAAGGACCATACATTAGGAAGAACTTTATGAAAGTAAGAGCTATTCAGCAGTGGAGCAGCTCCCTCAGAAGGTGGTAGACTCTCCTTCATTGGAGGTTTTCAAGCAGAGAGGTTGGATGGTCATCTGTCAGTCATGATTCCTGCAATGCTGGGGTTTGGACTAAATGACCCCCAGGGTCCCTTTCAACTCTACAATTCTATGATTAGGATTCATCCTGGCTCTCTTGTTTACACCTCTGTGTTGTTTTCATTTTCTTTCAGTTGTGAGTGCTTATATTTTAATGTTTGAGTAACTGATTTTTTAAACTTTCCAAACTGCTCACCATCCTATTTAGTCATCAAGTGGAATAACTATTTTATGCATTTCGTTCTATCCAACTTTTCCTCCAATTTGCTCAAGGTTGTACCCATGGTTCTCCCCATCTGTGAGGTTGGTTAGGCTGAGAGGCAGTGACTGGACCCCAAGCTTCATGGCTGCGAGGAGATTTGGACTTCTGGTCTCCAAGGTCCTAGCGAAACACTCTAACCTCCACACCACACTGGCTCTCCATAATAGTAGTAGTAGTAGTAGTAGTAATAATAATAATAATAATAATAATAATAATAGGGTTTGAATGGTCCCTAAGCAAAGTGTTCTTATCAAGTGGTTTCTCTCCTTCATTGTCAGGGGAGCACAACTGCAATTTGGGAGTCTAGCTGCTATATACTGTTGTGATTCACTGCCCATTATGGGCATTGAAAATGGCAGAGAGACCCAGTACCAACCGTCTTGATTGAAAATAGTGCCCAAACACCAACACCAACAAAGACCACTGCCCCACCTTGGGAATCCTCATGCCAAGTTGGGTGGTGATATCTCTAGAGGCAGACAAACATAGAGAGAACATATAAACCATTTCCCAAAATATATAGTAGATGGCACACGACCACCCTATCTCTGCCAGAAAAGTGGGCAGGATGGGTCCAAGGAATCCTTCTCTGGCTTTGGTTGCAATGGAAGCTAAAGAAGAATCCAGAGAGGGGAAGGATAGCACTGGGTTTGGGATAAGGCTGAGCATCACCAGCCGGGCAATTTCATATTGCAAAGTAGCTCTTGCCCCCAATCTGTCGCTTCACTCGCAAGGGGAGAGGCTTGCACATGGATTGAGCATTGACCCTGGGGATTGCATGCCGCTCCCTGATCTGGGTGAATTTCTGCCCTCTCCGCAGGGAACTGGATTTTTTCCAGGCCTCCTGTCTCCTGTTCTACGATTAATCTCAGAGTGATCCGTCTCCTCTCTGCTGTAACTCCGGTCTTCCTGTTCATTTTAATCTGCAATATGCTGCAATGATTCACTTCTGGTTAAATCTCTAATTAAATGCTCATCTCTCTCTCTCTCTCTCTCTCTCTCTCTCTCTCTGTGTGTGTGTGTGTGTGTGTGTGCCTCCTAGTCTTTTTAAACACAAGGGGTTGCTTTAGTCTGTGATCCTAGGCACACTTACTTGGGCTCACCCACTCTCCCGTTTCCCCTGTGCCTAGAAAGCATGAGTCTGAGCACTTTTCTGCTTGTCACACACTTTATCGGCACCAATCCATGTAAAACTCTATTGACTTTTGCTCCGATTCAGTAGCAAAGATCAGGTTTTCCCAGGAGAAAGGGGCAGGACATGCGGAAGTCTAGATGAGGCCTAATGTCACTTCCGAAACCATAAATTGAAAGTGTATTTAAAGCACGCAGCTTCTTCTTAAAAGAAATAAAACCCTGGGACATATGTAGCTTGTGGTGGCAGGGAAGAAGATCAGAGATCCAACATATTCTATGGGCTCTGAAGGCTTTAACAAGAACAATACAATCCTCTACTGCTGTTCCTTAAAAATAAAAAAATCCAGAGTTGTTCAGTGCTCCACAGGCAACACTTTGGACAGCCTCACTTCTTGCAAAGCCCATGGATTAAGCAATCGTCCACACTTCCACTTCTGTGCCTGGAAACTAAAAAACAGATTGGCGTTTGTTTCAATTCAGTGGTAAACAACAGATCTTCTCAGGGGAAAATAATGGGAGAAGCAGAAGTGTGTATGAGCTCCTAAAGCAGGCATATACAAAGTCCGTTTTGGGGGCCTAATCCGGCCTGTTGATTGGTTTAATCCAGCCTCTGTGGCAGTTTGTTTCCTGGGGTAAAATCCTAAAAAAACTTCAATCTTAAAAGAAGCTCAACAACTTTGGTTGGCCCCCATGGCCCTTCACTTCATCATATCTGGCCCTCTTTGAAAAAAGTTTGGACACAACTGGCCTAGAGAAACATAGATATATAGAGGAAATTATACAGTTGTTCTTTACAGGGGGGGGAATGAGAGTGGAAGAGTGGCAGGAGGTTTAGAGGTTGCATAGCTCAGTTGGCTAGAGTGATGTACCGATTATGCCGAGGTTGCAGGTTTGATCCCTGTATGGGAAAGCTGCCTATTCCTGCATTGCAGTGGACTGGACTAGATGATCGTCAAGGTCCCTTCCAACTCTATGATTCTAGGAGGCTTGGGTGGGGACTGATCCAATTGAGGGGGTATTGTCACAGGGGTACGGAAGTCTCCCAGATCAACTTGATTCGCCTCGTTATTTGGCCTTCACACAGAACTGGAAAAAACACACCAAAAAACCAAAATAAAATAAAATAAAACCCAATTTACAAACATGCTAAATGGATTGGGTATGCTTATGAAAGTTATATATCTGTATTGCTATATGGATGATTTCATCTTACCATCAAAAATCTTTGCCTTCCTTGAGTGAGCTGCCGTGCTTCATTTTGTATGGAAGAGTCGAGTTTATAACTGGATAAATAATAATATTGCTACTTTTTTTGGAAAAAAAATTCTCCTTCTTCCCTCTCTCTCTCTCTGTGCAGGTCTCGATGAAATCCAGTGTACTGTCCCTGTGGAAGACATCACCGTCTTTCTCAGTGAATTATCAGAGGCCAGTTTCAGGGACTGCAAATTTAGTTTGTCACTCACAGACCTTATAATCATAATCTTCTCTGGCGTCGCCGTCTCCATCGCTGCTATCGTGTCAAGCTTCGTTTTGGCGCTGATTGTGAACTGCTTCCAAAGATGTGCACCCAGTAAGGATGATGATGAAGATGAAGATGATGATGACTGAACCCCCTTCTCTTGGCATGTCACGAAATAAGTCCAAAGACCAGGGTAGGAAGAGACAACAACTGTTTAAAAGTGCATAGCAACTAAAAAAATGTCTAAGGGCTCAGTACTCCTATCAAAGTCTCAATGGTATTTCCCCATTTATATATCCCTGGGAAATGCTTTAAGTTTTATGGAACCTTTCCTGGTTAGGTCTCTTGATCCAATCCAGAGTTTAAAATTAATCTTAAAATAGATTCACTAGGAGGGAAGAAAATAAAGAAGATCAGAGATCGCCAATATTGGAGAAGGCTAGGATTTCGTTCTGGCCTCTCTCTCTCTCTCTCTCTCTCTCTCTCTGGGTTTTATTTTTTAATAGTCTTTATTTTAGAATTTTTTCACAATGTTTTTAAAGGAATAAAGACAGCCATCTGTTGGAGATGTTCCAGTTCTGGATTTCCTGCATCAAACAGTTAGCCCTGATGACCTTCAAAGGATCCTCTAGCTCTGAGTTTCTTTCATTCTATAATTATGTGAGATGCGATTTCAGATAGCAGAGTTATTTCGATTAACAGATGAGCAGCAAGGAAGAGAAGTAAAACATTATTAGCCCAGCTGCGCTGTAAATCACAGTGTGTTCCTGGTATGGAAGGAAGCCTTCTTATGGATACCTGCATCATTGTTCTCATGAAGTTTATTTCCTCCACCTGTTTCAAAATTTACATGTGTATCAAAGTGTTTCATCCCTTGGTGTCTGAAGAAACATTAAGCTCTGCTGACCCTGTAGAATCACAGAAAGGAAAAGCATGTTTTCTTGGCTTTGGGGCACCCGACCTCTTGTTTGCAACAAGATCACATTTGGGATGCATTTGGACAAACAACAGAAAGTCTTGCTGGGCTTGGGGCTCGTCCACACTTCTGCTTGTCCTGTACCTAGAAAGCACGGGTCCAAGTAATTTTCTGCTTGAACCACACTTTCTAGGCATGGGTCTGAGTGGTTTTCCTCTTGCCCCACTCCTTTCCCAGGAAAGCCTTCTCTTCACTGCTCAATCGGAGCAAATGTCAATCCAGAGAAAACCTGAATTGCTGTTTGCTCCAAATGAGCACTAAAGAGTTGTTCCCCCAGGGGGAAGCAGTGGGACAATAGGAAGTGTGGAATGAGCCCACTAAATCAATCCCTCTTCACAGGGAACTCTGGAAATTGTAGCTCTGGGAGGAGAACAGGGTTCTCCTAATGACCCTCAGTACAGTTAATGAACTACAGCTCCCAGAATTCTTTGGAGGGAGCTATGATAGCTTAACGCAAAAGTGGCCTGAATACACCGAGAGCCTCTGTTGCTCTGCTTTTTTAAAAAACTCCTCTTTCTGAATCATAGTCATAGCACTGCGCAGGTGCCATTTGCCGTAGTTTTCTGATTCTTCATACCCTGCATATCATTAATGATAAAACACAGCAAAGAAAAAGCATCCCTGCTATGATTGTACATTCAGCACCAATGAGATCCGTTTGCATGTCTGCCTCAGTAAAATGCCACACAAGAAGGGTCACAGTCACATCAACATAGTTTCTTGTGTGGGGAAGGACTAGTATTTTTTAAAAAATAAATACGGTCAATGCACACAATACGATATGATACGATACGATATCTTTATTGTCATTGTCCCATGCAGAACAATGAAATTGAAAAACTACATAAAACATTCAAAAACCCCTAAAAACTCTGCAGCCCCTATACTATAGAGACCCCTTATGCTGCGTTTAGAACCAGAATTGCATTTGCATAGAAACTGTTTCTCAGGCGGCTAGTCCTGGCCTTTATAACCCTATACCTTCTTCCAGAAGGCAGAAGCTGAAAGAGATCATTTCCGGGGTGCGTATTATCCTGCGCTATCTCTGCCGCTTTCTTATGGCACCTGGCAGCATAGCTTTGATCCAAGGTGGGAAGAGTGCACCCAATTATTCTCTCTGCAGTCTTTACAACCCTGGATAGCATTGTGAATAAGTAATGTATAAAGCTGAAGAGAACTGTGCATGGTTCAGTTTCATAAACAGGGAATACTCCTAGCTAAATGAGAGTTCGGGAGGGGAGGAAAGGAGGGCAAAGCAAGCCGAGGAATCCTTAACTCCATGAGATACTCCTACAGTTCAAAATGAAAATTTATTATATTTATTTAGAACATTTCCATCCTGCTCTTTGTTGTAACGTTGTTGATTGGTTGCATTCATGCCCCCACCTTTCCTCCCAGGAGCTCAAGATGGGGCGCCTCATTCTCCCCTGACCCACTTTATCATCACAACAACCCTGAGAGATAGGTTAGGCTGAGGGACGGGAACCGGCCTGAGCTTAACCCAGTCAGTTTTCTTGGCTGAGAAGGCGTTGCGAAGTGGTCACACTGTCAGGAAATGCAGAAGCCGTCCAGCATCCCAAACTAACCACCCAACAAAAGAGAGCAGGTCTCAAGATGCAGCAGTTAGAGTGTTGCCCCAGGACCAGAGAGACAAGGGTTCAAATCTTTATTTGACCATGAAGCTCACTGGGCGGTTTCATGCCTCTCAGTCTAACTGCAAGGGGTTGTTCTGAGGATCACACCGGAGGGAGGAAAATTGTGTACCAGTATGTCACCTTGAGATCTTTGGAGGAAAAGTGAGGTAGAAATGAAACTATGATTGCGACGACAGAAAATAAATAAAGTAAAATTCGGTAAACATACAGAGAGACAAATTTCGACTGTATGTCATCCATGCGGGAGATCTATGTCTCTGTTCACAGAAGAAATACTTTGAAACAGATTTTATTACAAGTTATGCTTCATTAAGTTGTAATTGTTTGCTTGTGTTGTTTTTTTTTAAAAAATACTGCAGCAAGGACACTTTTTTAAAGGAGAAATTATTTTAGTAATTTAGAAAATGCTATATATCTGTAGCTTAAAAGAATATCTTGCAAAACAGGGTGGGTGGGTTATAACTTGAGGACAATCAGAGAAGAGTTGGAAAGCCAAATCTCTTTCTTTTTAATTTTTGCTTTACTATTTTTCCTTTATTTTTGGACTGTCTGGTGTGCTATGATTGTGATCATGATAAATTTGGCCATCTGTTATCAACATGATACATCTCTTATTTCTTGACGTTTAATTTTGTTTGGGGGCTGACGGCTTCTTTGGAAATGGAAGTCACTTCATGTGGACTGGAAGCCTTGCCTTCCAAACTATGATGAGCACTTTCTATATGTTCAGTGCGACTCACTTCAGTGTTATTCGTTCCTGTATTGCAGACAAGAGGACTGGCACCGAAAATGCAAACCTGGATGGAGCAAATTGGCCAGCAGCCCCTTGCACACTGACCTAGGAATTTGCAGCATTGAACTTTGCAGGGCTTACTTATGAGTAAACCTGCAAAGGATTGTGCAGCTAACTCCCCAGTGTGCATTTATTGTTAAGTCCATTCTCCACACCACCATCACCCAGAAAAACTGTTCTCATTTTAGAGCAGTGGAGAGAATAATAATAATAATAATAATAATAATAATAATAATAATAATAAATTTTATTTATATCCCGCCCTCCCCAGCCGAAGCCGGGCTCAGGGCGGCTAACAACAATAAAACAGTACAAAAGTACAGCATAAACAACAGTCTAAAATCATTCGTTATAAAATTAATTAATTCAAGCCACTGGCAACTATTGGGCCAGAGCTCCGCGAAGATTGCCGAGGGAGGGAGTCAGGCTGTGCCCTGGCCAAAGGCCTGGTGGAACAGCTCTGTCTTGCAGGCCCTGCGGAAAGAGGTCAAGTCCCGCAGGGCCCTGGTCTCTTGTGACAGAGTGTTCCACCAGATCGGAGCCACAGCCGAAAAAGCCCTGGCTCTAGTTGAGGCCAGCCTAACTTCTCTGTGGCCTGGGACCTTCAAGATGTTTTTATTCGAAGACCGTAAGTTTCTCTGTGGGGCATACCAGGAGAGGCGGTCCCGTAGGTACGAGGGTCCCTAGGCTGTATAGGGCTTTAAAGGTTAAAACCAGCACCTTAAACCTGATCCTGTACTCCACCGGGAGCCAGTGCAGCTGGTATAGCACCGGATGAATGTGGTCTCGCAGCGAAGACCCCGTAAGGAGTCTCGCTGCAGCATTCCGCACCCGCTGGAGTTTCTGGGTCAGTCTCAAGGGCAGCCCCACGTAGAGCGAGTTACAATAATCCAGTCTGGAGGTGACCGTCGCATGGATCACAGTGGCTAGGTCAGGGCGAGAGAGGTAAGGAGCCAACTGCTTAGCTTGGCGGATATGGAAAAATGCCGCCTTTGTTATAGCTGCAATCTGCGCCTCCATGGAAAGGGAGGTGTCGAAGATTACACCCAAACTCTTAACGGACGGTGCTGGCACTAATTGCCCCCCGCAAGAGAAGGGAGTTGCCCCCCCAATCCCATATCGCCCCGTCCCAGCCACAGGACCTATGTCTTCGAAGGATTTAGCTTCAACCGGCTCCCACGTAACCATCCAGCCACAGCTTCCAAACATCTGGTCAGTGTGTCTGGGGCCGAGTCAGGAAGAATAGGCCTAATGTGGCCCTTGAGCTTATTCATCTGGCTCTTAGGATCCTCTATACACTGCAGCCTCACCAATCCTTGAGTGTTTTTGCCTGGCAGGAATGTATCCTTGATAAATCCAGAACGCGGCAGCTAGACTGGTGACTGGGAGCGGCCGCAGAGACCACATAACACCGGTCTTGAAAGACCTACATTGGCTCCCAGTACGTTTCCGAGCACAATTCAAAGTGTTGGTGCTGACCTTTAAAGCCCTAAACGGCCTTGGTCCAGTATATCTGAAGGAGCGTCTCCACCCCCATCGTTCTACCCGGACACTGAGGTCCAGCACTGACGGCCTTCTGGCGGTTCCCTCACTGCGAGAAGCCAAGTTACAGGGAACCAGGCAGAGGGCCTTCTCGGTAGTGGCGCCTTCCCTGTGGAACACCCTCCCACCAGATGTCAAAGAGAACAACAACTACCAGGCTTTTAGAAGACATCTGAAGGCAGC